AAATAAATAAAAATCTAAAAAAAAAAATAATAATAATCCAATTTATTTAAATTAAAAAGAAAAATCACCCATTTCTCCCAACCCCCAACCCTGCTGCAGGCAATCACAAATCGTTCTCTATATTGTTGTGTGTGTGTTTTTTAAAAAGATTTTATTTATTTGATAGGGAGATACCGCATAAGCGGGGGGGAGTGGCAGAAGGAGAGGGAGAAGCAGGCTCTCTGCTCAGCAAGGAGCCTGATGTGGGACTTGATCCCAGGATCATGAGCTGAGGTCAAGGTAGATACTTAACCAACTGAGCCACCCAGTTGCCCCTGTTCCCTATATCTATCAGCTTGGTATATATACGTGTGTGTTATATAAATGTATATATTAAATTTCACATATAAGAGATCATATGGTATTTGTCTACCTTATTTCATTTAGCATAATACCTTCTGGGTCCATCTATGTTATTGCAAATGGCAAGATTTCATTTTTTATGGCTGAATAATATTCTGGGATGTGTGTATGTGTACACTACAACAGCTTTGTCCATTAATCCATTGGTGGATACTAAGTTGTTTCCATATCTGACTATAATAAATAATGCTGCAATGAACACGAGGGTGCATATATCTCTTTGAATTACTGTTTTTGTTTTCCTTGGATAAATACTCAGAAGTCAAATTTCTGGATCATATGGTAATTCTATTTTTAATTTTTTGAAAAATCTCCATACTGTTTTCCCACCAACAGCACTCTAGGGTTTCCTTTTCTCCACATCCTCACCAACACTTACTGTCTTTTTGATACTTGCCATGCAGACAGGTATGAGGTGATATTTCGTGGTTGTTTTGATTTGTATTTCTCTGATGATGATTATTATTTTTTAAAGATTTTATTTATTTATTCATGAGAGAGAGAGAGAGAGAGAGAGAGAGAGAGAGAGGCAGAGACACAGGCAGAGGGAGAAGCAGGCTCCATGCAGGGAGCCGGATGTGGGACACGATCCCAGGTCTCCAGGATCACACTCTGGGCTGAAGGCGGCACTAAACCACTGAGGCACCTGGGCTGCCCTTCCCTGATGATTAAATGTAGAGCATTCTTCTGTGTACCTGTTGGCCACCCCTATGTCTTCCTTGGAAAAATGCCTATTCCATATCTTCTGACCATTTAGAAATTGGATTTTTGTTTTTTGCTATTGTGAGTTCTTCATATATTTTGGATATTAGTCCTTTATTAGATATATAATTTACAAATGTCTGTTCCCATTCAGTACATTTCCCTTTTGTTCTGTTGATGGTTTCCTTTGTTTCATTGAAGCTTTAAAGTTCTAATGCAGTACCACTTGTTTACATTTTTGTTTTTGTTGGCTTTCGCTTTGGTTGTCAGATTAAAAAAGTCATCACTAAGACTTATGTCAAGGAGATACTGTCTCTATTTTCTTCCAGGATTTTTATGGTTTCAGGTCTTGGACATTCAAGTTTTTAGTGCATTTTGAGTGTATGTATGTATAAGATAGTGGTCTCTTTTCATTCTTTTGCATGTGACTGTCCAATTTTGCTAACATCATTTATTGAGGTAACTGTCCTTTCCTTAGTGTATATTCTTGGCTCTTTTGTCATAAATTAATTGACTAGGGACGTCTGGGTGGCTCAGTGGTTGGGCATCTGCCTTTGGCTTCGGATGTGATCCTGGAGTTCCAGGATTGAGTTCCATGTCAGGCTCCTTGCGGGCAGCCTGCTTCTCCCTCTGCCTATGTCTCTGCCTCTCTCTCTGTGTCTCTCATGAATGAATAAATAAAATCTTAAAAAAAAATTAACTGACCATACATGCATGGGTTTATTTTTGGGCTCTCTATTCTGTTCCATGGATCTGTATGTATATTTTTGTGCCAATATCATACTGTTTGTTCTTTTTTAAAGATTTTTATTTACTTATGCATGAGAGACACAGAGAGTAGACATATAGGCAGAGGGAGAATGTAGGGAGCCTGATACAGGACTTGATCCCAGGACCTGGGGATCACAAACTGAGCCAAAGGCTCAACCACTGAGCCACCCAGGTGCTCCATAACATACTGTTTTAATTACTATAGCTTTGTAATGCAGTTTGAAATCAGGGAGTGTGACACTTCCAGCTTTGTTCTTCTTTCTCAAGATTGCTTTGGCTATTCAGGGTCTTTTATGGATCCATACAAATTTTAGAACTGTTCTAGTTCTGTGAAAAATGCCATTGGAATTTTAGGGATTGCACTGAATCTGAAGATAGCTTTGAGTAATATGTACATTTTAAATATATTAACTTTTCCAATCCATGAATATGGAATATCTTTCCATTAACTTGTGTATTCTTCAATTTCTTTCACTAATGTCTTATGGTTTTCAATGTACAGGTTTTTACCTCCTTGGTTAAATTTATTTCTAGGTATTTATTTACTTGAGGGAGAGCAAAAGTGAGAGAGATCACAGAAGAAGAGAAGCAGATTCACCACTGAGCAGGAAGCTCAACTCAGGGCTTGATTGCAGAACTCTGAGATCATGACTTGAGCTGAAGGCAGACGCTTAACTAACTGAGCCAACCAGATGCCCCTATTTCTAAGTATTTTAATTCTTTCTGATGTAATTATAAATGGGATTTTAATTTATTTTTCTGATAGTTATTAGTGTACAGAAATACAACAGGTTTATGTGTACTGATTTTGTATCTTGCAGCTTTCCTGAATTTGTTCACTAGTCTGTTTTCTGATGGAATCTTTAGGAGTTTTCTATGTTATCTGCAAATAATGATAATGTCACTTATTCCTTTACAATTTAGATACTTTTAATTTCCTTTTCTTACCTAATTGCTCTGGCTAGGATTTCTAATACTATGTTGAATAAAAGTAGTGAGTGGGCATCCTTGTCTTGTTCGTGATTTTAGAAGAAAAACTTTCAGTATGATGTTAGCTGTGCGCTTGTCAAACAGTATACGGCCTTTATTATATTGAGGTATGTTTCCTCTATATTGCTTTGCTGAAAGTTTTTATCATAAATGAAAGTTGAATTTTGTCAAATTTGTATAATTAATGATCTTTGGATACTGAATATATTAACCCCTTGCCTGCAAAATATGTAGCCAACATTTTCTCCCAGGCAATTTATTATTTTTAAGTATCATTCATAAAACTTTACTTTTTATTGATTTTTTTAAAAAAAGATTTTAGGTTCAAGTAATCTCTACACCCAACACGAGGCTCAAAGTTACAACCCCAAGATCAAGAGTCACATGCTCTACCAATTAAGCCAGCCAGGCACCTAAGAACTTTATTTTATGTTATTATTATTATTTTTAAATTATTTATTATTTATTTATTCATGAGAGACACAGAGAGAGAGAGGCAGAGACATAGGCAGAGGGAGGGGCAGGCTCCTCACAAGGAGCCCGATGTGGGACTCCATCCCGGATCCCGGGATCACAACCTGAGCTGAAAGCAGGCATCCCAACCTTATTTTTAAAGATATTTTATTCATGTATTTGGCTGAGAGAGAGAGAGAAACAGGCTTCCCGCTGAGCAGGGAGTCCAAGTGGGGCTTGATCCCAGGACCCCGGGATCATGACCTGAACTTAAGGCAGACGCTTAACTGGCCAAGCCACCCAGGCGTCCCCAAAACTTTATTTTAAATGTACTTGAGGGGATTCCTGGGTGGCTCAGTGGTTTAGCACCTGCCTTTGGCCCAGGGCGTGATCCTGGAGTCCCGGGATTGAGTCCCACGTCCGGTTCTCGGCATGGAGCCTGCTTCTCCCTCTGCCTGTGTCTCTACCCCTCTCTCTCTATCATGAATAAATAAATAAAATATTAAAAAAATTAAATGTACTTGATCTGCCATTCCTTTTCCTTTATGGCTTCTGGACTCAAATAATAGTCTTTATTTTTTTATGATATTTTATTTTCTTAAGATACTAGTGTATGTTTGTAAAACGTTTACTCCTTCAATCTATATAAAATACATATTTTGAAATATTTTATTTATTTATTCATGAGAGACACACAGAGAGAGGCAGAGACACAGGCAGAGGGAGAAGCAGGCTCCCTGCAGGGAGCTTCATAAGAGACTCAATCCTAGGACCCCTAGGATCACAACCTGAGCGGAAGGCAGATGCTCAACCACTGAGCCACGCAGGCACCCGAGATAGGGATTTAATCTTTTCTGTTTTGTGGCTATTTTGATAGCTAGTTGCTACAATAATTATTCAATGGTTCTTTACCCACTGATTTCAAATATTAAATGGGCATTTTATTTTCTATTTTTTTAATTTTTAATTTTAATTTTTTAAAGAGTGGTTATTTTTTTTTTAAAGATTTATTTATTTATTCATTCGGAGAGAGCGAAGAGAGAGGCAGAGACACAGGCAGAGGGAGAAGCAGGCTCCCCGAAGGAAGCCCGATGTGGGACTCGATCCCAGGTCTCCAGGATCACACCCCGGGCTGCAGGCGGCGCTAAACCGCTGCGCCACCGGGGCTGCCCTATTTTCTATTTTTTTTAATTAGAGAGATTGGGGAAGGAGAGGCAGAGGGTAAAGGAGAAAGAAAATCTTAAGCAGGCTCATGCTCAAGACAGAGTCCAATGTGGGGATTGATCTCACAACCTTGAGATCATAACTGGAACGGGAAATCAAGAATCAGACACTTAACTGACTTAGCCACCTAGGTACCCCTAAGTGGGCATTTTTGATGAGACTCAAAGGAGGGGAGAATTTGGATGTGGGAGTCTGACCCATGTGACTGAGGTCAACTACATAGGACAGCATGAGAAAATGATGGGTGTTCTTTAAGGAATGCCGGGTATGGTGGTCCTGGAGGCAGGAAGCACTCAGTTTATAATAACCTCAATAATAATTTAGAGAAAAACAGCAACCTTGATTTTTAGTATATAGCTAAAAGACTTTTATTTTTTAAAAAATAAAATTCATTATCTGTTCAGAATAGAAACTTTCAGCAAACTTGAAATAAAAGGAAATATATTTTTTAATTTTTAATTTTTTAAAGATTTATTTACTCACGAGAGACAGAGAGAGAGAGAGAGAGAGGGGGGGGGGCAGAAACACAGGCAGAGGGAGAAGCAGACTCCATGCAGGGAGCCTGATGTGGGACTTGATCCCAGGTTTCCTGGATCAGGCCCTGGGCTGAAGGCGTTGCTAAACTGCTGAGCCACTTGGGCTGCCCTAAAAGGAAATACCTTAAACCTGATTTGAAAAAACCTATAGCACACATCATACTCTATGGCAAAGTACTGAAAGCCTTCCCTGTTAAGTCACAAACAAGACAAGAATGCTTGGTGAAATCATCTCTCTACAGCATTTTAGTGGAAATCTTAGCCAATGTCATAAGGCAAGGACAAATAAGATACAAGGATTAGCATGGAAAAAATGTCACTATTCACAGAGGACATGAATATGTTAGAAAACCTAAAAAAAAAAAAAAAAAAAGAAGGATTATTACAATTAGTAAGTGACTTTGTAAGATTATCACAGAATTTCACAGGAGGATTTACTAGAATCAAAAATCAATTGCTTATATTCGTAGCTACAAATGGAAAACAATTTTAAGAAGAAATATAATTTAAAATAAAATAGTCAAACACCTAGAAATTGAAGAAAATATATGTGAGATTTCTATACTATATGGAATCATTGGCCAAAATTAAGGAATACCTAAAAAAAAAAAAAAAAACCCCTAAAAGCAAAGATATATTTGTGGATTGGAAACTTGATATTGTAAAGATATCAATTCACTACAAATGGAAGTATATATTCACTGCAATCCCAATTAAAACACCAATGGGTATTTAATTACGTGAAATGAAAAAACAAAAAATAAAATAGCACATAAGTTAAAAGATTTAATTATTTTCATGGAAAAGGTGAAATTTGGTTGATTTGGCACTGGAAGAGGACAATACAATAAACATTTCTTCACTATTTGCTGCTGTGTTCCAGGCATACTACTGGGTATTTTCCCGTTAGCATTCCCCAGAACCTCAGCTCCTGAGATGCTCAGAGAAAAAAGGCTTCCATAGGCAGAAGCCTATAGAAAAAGTGCCCCATGGCACAGTCTCCTCTTGGAGATTCATAGTGAACAGCAGGATTTTAAAGGCTCTGACAAATTCCAGAGAAGAGAAGCAAATAAATTGTGTTTAGCCCAGGATTCTCCAATCTTATTTGATCATACAAGCTCTCTTTGAGAAACACTGGCCTGGAGTGCTTTTTAAGTGTATCTGGTTCTTACCATATCCGTGTAATAGCCAAGAGTTGAATCGTTCATTTTATAGATGAAGAAATGGAACATCAGGCAGGTAAAGACTTATACAGGCCACACAGCTACCAATATAGAATCTTCAATGCATGTCTTTCTTAAAAAAAAAAAAAAAGAAAAATCTAGTACTTTTACCAGGGTGAAACACTACTGTCATGCAAAATAGAATTTTAGAAATGGAATAAGCCTTCGTGATCTCTTGGGACTGGTGACCTTATGATTTTGAGGAGACAACTGGGGCCCAGACAAATTAAGTGCCTTGCCCCAGGTCAAGAGCTTGCAGACTAGTAGAAGGAATAAAAGAATCCATGACTCAGTGACTCCCAATTAAGTGCTCTACTGCCCCACATAATTAGGAGACAAATATGTGTCAATGTTGGGTGAGACCAAATTAACTGCCCAGATTGAGTAGGTGCTCATACGTGCTCAATGAACAATTTACCTGAGAAAAGAGGATACTGGAGCTCTGTCAGGCTGCCATGTAATTTTGAAATGAGGGTTCAGGAGCCACTTGACTACTTGGTTATAATATGGTAAAGCACTAAATATTGTAATTTTTAAGAATCTAATCCTTTATTTGTATTATTTTATCCACTCTCCCAAAAAGTGCCACATGCCACATTGATAAATTAAAAGGAATTTACATTTCTGAACAACAGCAATTTCACAGCTCGAATTGGGTACATCCTGGAGGGCCACAGGTTGGGAATCATTTTTCCGAAGTGTGTCACATCTGAGGAATAGACAGATAATGCAGTGGTTATGAACACCTCACAGAACCCGTAGGGCAGGGTCAGGTGTTCGCTGCAGGTGCAGCTGTCAGGAAGAGCCAAAGAGGAAACCAACACACTCCTGACAGGGGTTTGAGCAAGGCTGGGCTGAGAGGCCAAGACAGAATGAAGAAGGGAAGAGCCTATATATTCAACAGCAGAGGGAAAACTGAGGGACTTTGGGAGACAAAGAGCCAGCCCCCAAAGAGGAGGCTACGTTGTAAAATAACAGGGAAGAGGAAAATAAGTGAATGTAAGCATTCCACTGAAGTTTGGACTTTATTTTTATTTTTAAGATTTTATTTATTTATTCATGAGACACAGGCAGAGGGAGAAGCAGGCCCCATGTAGGGAGCCCGATGTGGGACTTGATCCTGGGTCTCCAGGATCATGGCCTGGGCCGAAGGTGGCGCTAAACCACTGAGCCACCCGGGCTGTTTGGACTTTAAAAGGAGCAGCACTTCTGTGGAGAAACCTCTTGGCTGTGGCTGGTGGCCATTGGGCAGAATGCGCGGAATAGCTTGACGTCTGTGGAAACATTCAGTCCCTCAGTGGGAGATGTTCCCTTAGAGACAAGGAAAGAGTAACCAGAAGCAAAAAGGGAATGTACACTTGACTCTCCTCTGCTTTATCTTCTCTATGTATGTGGCTCTTGGGGACCTCATGTGGGGAGTGGGGCTAGAGTAGAGCATGATTTAGGGGTTCCTGGGTCCACCGGGAAATTACCATCAGGATATTAAGTTGACTGCACTCCCTCCTACTTCCAAAATGTGCAACCTGATGTCTTGTTGAGAAGTTCTGTTCTTTAAAAGCTCATTAGTTATCTCACCCCAAGAAAGACAATCCTTTACTTTTGCAAAATTATTACCCACATTAAAAAACTAAAAAGCAAAAAACAAAAAAAAAATCGTAATGAACAGGAGTTTCTAGACATTAAAATTTCCTAAGTAACCATTAACCCATTTGCACCCCTTCTGAATTTGTTGAATTAGAACTACCCTCTCTCCCAACCAGTAGAATTTGGTGGGGCAGCCCTGGTGGCTCAGCGGTTTAGCGTCGCCTTCAGCCCGGCGTGTGGTCTTGTCAACCTGGGATCCAGTCCCACATCGGGCTCCCTGCATGGAGCCGGCTTCTCCCTCTGCCTGTCTCTGTGCCTCTGTGTATGTGTGTCTCTCATTAATAAATAAATAAAATCTTAAAAAAAAGAATTTGGTGACACAGTTATTAATGTTGCCCACCATTTAATGTGGGATATGGCTCAAAGGTGGTACTGGCACAAAAGGTGGAAGGTGAAGTACAGAGCAGGACAACTTCCCAGAGTAAGCGCTATGCATTTACATTTTCAATTTTTATTACTTTTCTCTGATTATAAAAATAAATGCTCATTATAGAAAAACTCAGATCTTTCAAAAATATGTAACGCAGAAAGTGAAACCAATCCACAATTCCACCCCTCAGAGTGAAGTGCTTCAGCTGTTTCCTCTGACATTTATTTAAACTTCATTAACATTTATCTAAACAAAATAAAACTATTGTGGTGGTGTTTTTTTCAAATAGGATCATGGTATGTTTAACCCAGTAACTTACTTCTCTTGCTTAAGATTTGATCTACTAGGGCAGCCTGAGTGCCTCAGCGGTTTAGTGATGCCTTTGGCCCAGGGTGTGATCCTGGGGTCCCGGGATCAAGTCCCACGTCAGGCTCCCTGCATGGAGCCTGCTTCTCCCTCTGTCTGCGTCTCTGTCTCTTTCTCTCATAAATAAATAAAATCTTAAAAAAAAAAAAAAGATTTGATCTACTAAAGAGATCCATCATATTGTTTTTCTTAAAATTTTTTTTTTTTTTAGAATTTTATTTATTTGAGATAGTGTACACCTGCGAGAGAACACAAGCAGGGTGGGGAGGGGAGGAGGAAGGGGTGAGGGAGAGGAGACTCTCGACTGAGCAGGGAGCCCAATCAAAGGACACTGGGATCATGACCTAAGCCAAAGGCAGATGCTTAACTGACTGAGCCATCCAGGTGCCCCCATCACGTTTCTTTCTTTTTTTTTTTTTAAAGGTTGTATAGTATTCTATGGTATGAGTGATTCACAGTGTAACCAAATTTCCACTAATGGAAAGCGATTTTTACAATTATTTCACTCTGGTGAATTCCTTGCTTGCATAGCCTAGTACACAGGTGAAAGCATTTTTGCACGTCAAATCCTAGAAAGGGGATTGTGGGGTCAAAAGGTGCATGTATTAACATTTTTATTAGGCTGTATTTGAATCTTAAATCTTTAAAACTGCCTCGCAGTTTGGTACTGGCACAATTCTTTGTTGCAAAGTCTAAACATCAGCCACCAAGTCTAGTTTTAATTCCCTTTTCAGAAATATTCAGGGAGAGAACAGTTTCCTGCCACCGGCTGGCCCGCCACCTCACGTGTTTTCTGTCAGCACTACAACCTGAAAGCATGTCAATAATATTTGTTATGTTTGGGGACTGAGCTTTTGGCTTTTTTTTTTTTTTCCAGATGACGTTAGCTCTAGGTATCTTTTTGGAGTTTTTAGTAGGTTTAAGCAAGACAGGTAAATTAAGGTAATCTATTACTCAGTTCCTTGTCCCTTTCATTCACTGGAGTGACTGTCACATGTTGGTGCTCTTGGGGAATACCGCCTAACACAGGTGTGAGGGGCCATTAGCTGCCAATTCTCATCTACTTAGCATATAGTTACTGTTCCAAGCAGTTTTCCAGTATTTGTCACATTGAACCTGAGTCACCAGTGGTGACCATCTTAAGCAATACTTCCACTTCAAGAGAATGCAGATAGAATTTCAAGGGTAAAAGACTGATGATAGTACCCGCTCCAGCCTCCTGAAGTGATTTTTTGCTTCCTCTGGACTCAGATTTTAAAGCATCTGCGCTATTCTTTAACTTGGCGATAAACCTCCTTTGTTCTTAAAAAGCCATTTCAGTGTTTATATAAATCAAATCACTGACTACATTCTCTCACCTAGACTATATGCTCTACAAGAGGAAGGATTTTGTTTGGTTCACTGGTGTTTCCCTAGCATCCAGAACAGTACCTGGCACATAAAAGGTGCTTAATACATATTTCTTTGAAGGCAGAAATCTTATGTTTTGCATCTCCACGTTAAATGCCAACTTGCTGATTAAATTAAGGAAAGAATCTTCGTTCAGTGACACAATTTAAGATTTTCCTAGAAGCAAAGTGCGGCCTATCCCTTGCCTAAATAATATTCAAGGTTCTTTCCAGCTCTAACTTACTATGAATCTAGTAGTTTTCAAAGAATTAGAATTCAGTATAAGAAAACATATATACTACTAAAACTAGAGTGAAAATAATGGGGTAAATTAAATCTTTGATTTAGAAAGCAGGGCATTGATTTTTCTAAGCCTTCAGATCATTATAGAGACCAAATTTGAGAAACTATATTGATTGCAAACTTTATTCTCTAAGTTCCTTTCTTGGGAAAAAACAAAAAATCATGGCATCGAGTTGTTAACTGGGAATGCCTCTATGATGTGCATAAAAAATATGTGGTTAATGTTACTGTATAAGCAAAAAGGCAAAAAAAAATGTTTATGTACAACTTTTATATTCTGGACTATACCAATAGTAGTATGACCCTAAAGAGAGCGATATCTGCCTTGAAATCCATCTCAAATGTGCAGTTATACGAATTTAAAGCCAATAAAAATAAAAGCAGTGAAAAAGAATAAAAAGAGAACGAGAGGGAAAGATCCATCTAAATCTGGGGCATATTTTGAATAATATACAACATTTTTGGAAATAAAGGAAAAAAAGAGAGAGGAAAAATTTTAGAAAGTCACTCCAGAAAAAGTCCATCTTATAAGACATATTTTAATTCTAGTCCTTTAGTACTTATTTATGTCAGACCACCTCTTAGTGGATGTTTGGTTTCCTGTGCCGAGCCTTAGAAAAATTATCTTGTGGTCAGAAAATAGCATATTCTCAAGACGGTTGACTGAAGAGACTGTTTTTTTGGCTTACTATTTTTTACAACAAATTTTACTTTAAAAAGAGAGTGAATTAATCAGATTTGAACTCTCACTGGTAGAACTGTAGTGGATATATCCTGCCTGCCTAAAAAAGAAAATGAATCAGCTTGAAAAGGATTTTATATAGAAGCAATTGACATGAAGAATAGGGCCTGAAATGAAAGGCAGTTTTTGATGAAAGAAAGAAAGAAAGAAAAGAAAAGAAAAGAAAAGAAAAGACCATTAAGAATATTTGGACGGGGGAGGGGGAGATTTCATAAAACACAGGAGTTAGGAGAAGGCGTGTGCCCAAGTTAGACTACAGAGCAAAGTCTGAACAACATCAAAAACAGAAGCATTCTTGGGGAAAACCAATGCCAGGGGCACTCTTATGGTTAATTTACTAAAATAAAAAGGTAAACAGGTATTCATTTGTTGAGGCTTATGACATGAGAGTACACTTGTGTAATACCAGACCCTCAAGAAAAAGAAACCTTCAAAAAAATTTTCAAAAGGCAAATTATGGGGGAAAAAAAAACCTGTAAACGTTAAAACGTTTTAGCTTAGGTGAGGTAGATGAAAATAGAAAACGAAGTAGGAATATGCTGTCATTGCTTTCAATCATTAATATCAGCAAATGAAAAAACTGTTAGGATCATATATCTTTTAAGACGAATGGGAAAATGGTCCTAAAAATGTACAAAAAAAAATGAATTTCAGCGTCTAAGGAATTCCAATCAAATGTGTAAAGCCCCCTTCTCCCACCAAAAATGTCCATTTAAACATTTAAGCATTCAAATAATATTAGATAGTGCTGAAACATCTAACACATCATCACGCTCTCATCGTCATGTTTGCAATATTCATAGGGCTCAAGTTTAGAGAATAAAATATAAATTGTTTTTAAAAGGTGCTTCTGAAGCCAAAAAGCAAAAAAAAAAAAAAAAAAAAAAAAAAAGCATTCTTTGCCTACTTAAGGGCTCATCATCACGGGAAGACGGATGCAATATTCGTCCACCATACACCAAAACAAACGTAGGCAAAGTTCTCCATCTCATTTTTATAGAAATGCCGTCTGTTTAAGGTACAAGGTGCTTTTATCTCAGTGACAGGCTGGAGCTCCGCCAGGAATCAGGAAAACGTGCTCGGAGGGGAGGCCCGGTCCAGCTCCATCAGGTCCATGAGCACAATAAATCATCCCCCCCACCCTCCCCCCCCACAAAAAAAAGCCCACCTTAAATAGCTCAAGTTGTCATAAAAATAGGCTGATGGTCACTTTACTCGGGCGATAACCTAATCCCCGGGCTTATTGTTGTGGAGCAGATGTCATTATGGGTGGGGCCGGCGCGCAGGGCCGCTGAAACACTTGGGCACCACCCCCCGCGCACTTTCAATGGGATACAAGGGGCTCCCAAAAGGTAAGCGGAAAGCTCCCCACGACCCGCTCCTGCCAGCAATAAGGAGGCTGGGATGTGGTCGCGGTCCCGGCGAAGACCACGAGATTCAAAAAAAAAAAAAAAAAAAAAAAAAAAGATCATTCCCCCCCCCCCGCCCTTCCCCCACGGGTAACTCCTACCCTGGAAAAGAGATCGTCCCCCTCTCTCTCTCTCTCTCTCCCCTCCCCTGCCGGCTCCTCCTCGGGACACTTGGCTGAGTCTTTCTTTCTCTCCTTCCTTCCTTCCTTCCTTCCCACGCGGAGGTGAGGCTGCACGCAAGCCGGGGACGCTGCTTTTCCTCTTGGCGCGGAGGGAACTCTGCGGGTAGGAGCCCCGGGTGGCAGGGAGGGAGCGGGCGGCGACGTGGGCAGGCAGAGGGAGCTCGCCGGGGGCGCGCCGGGCCGGGGCTGCCAACAGACACGCGGGCCCCCGAGGAGCCGGCCGACGAGGCCGAGGTGACGACGGAAAGCTCCGCGCTCCGCGCTCCGGGCTCCGCGCTCCGGGCTCCGGGCTGGGACCGCACGCTTCCCGCGGGCCACCGTCGCCCTCGGCCTAGCGCCGCCCGCGTCCCGCGCTCCGCCGGGGCGGCGGGGACTGAGACAGGGTTAAACCGCGCCTCGCACTTGCCTGGGACCGGGTGACCAGTAACTGGTAATAGTCTTTGCTCGGCGCTGGGCCTTGTCCTACAATTTCCAACAGCGTCTCCGGCAGCCACGACGCCATCTTGGGACGCCACCGGCGTCGCTAAGACAACCAGGAAGGGGCGGGGCTTCACTGGGGTCATGGGGCCAAAGCCCTAGTTTTAAATCGAACCCCGCTTTTGAGCTAGCGGAGGGGGGCGGTTTGACTCGGGGTGATCGCCCCGACCTCCGAGAGTCCCAGGGAACTCTCGTCTGTGAAATTTCAAGCCTCGGGTCCCCGGTGACCCGAAAGGGAATTAGTTCCTGCTACCATGGAGGGGAGGGGGTGACCCCGGCGGAGGGATACCAAGCACGGCCCCACGTTCCCCTTCCTGGTCCCTCGAAGGGATCGGGAGGAGATCTCGGGCCGCTGGGAGAGTCGCTCCGGGCGGTGGGGGAGGGAGGGGCGATGTGATGGGCCGCGAGTAGGCAGCGGGGCCTCTCCCGCGGACGAGCCCGGCAGCCCGAGCCGGCGGGCAAAGTAGTTCCCGGAGGGTGTTGGAACGGGCGGGGAGGGAGGCGGCGCGGGCGGAGGCGCACGCCGGCCGCGGTGCTGCGGCTCAGCTGATAATTGAAGGGACCCGAGGAGCCGCCGCCGCCGCCGCCGCCGGGGGGGGGTGGGGGGAGCGAGTGGAAGTTGCTGCCGCGCCACCGAGTCCGGACCGGAGACTTTGGGGCCCAACTAGGTAATTGGGGCGCAGTTCCGAGCGGCCGGGCCGGGCTTGGGGGAGGGGGTTGTGCCGAGGGGTTGGGAGGGGGCAGCGGGGGTGGGGGGTGGGGAGGAGCTGGAAGAGAAAGTCCCAGGAAGCCCGGTTGTGTCATCGCGGCGATTCGGCCCCGGCTCGGCCTGCTCCCGGCGGCGGCGGCGGCGGCGGCGGCGGGGCCGCGGAAGGACCGGGCCGGGGGTTGACGGGCGAGGCGCTCGAGGGAGGCTGGGGCCGGGCGGGCGCAAGGGGGGGGGGCTTCTCTGGGTTCCCCCCTCCGGCCCCCCGCGATGAGGAGGGCCCTTCGCGGAACCGGGGTAAGGCGTGCGGGTGTTGGGGAGCCCGGCGGGGGCCGGCGGGGGGCCGGAAGTGGGCTTTGGGGCTCGGAGGGCGTCTAGGAAGCGAGAAAGTGGGGGGCCGGAAGTGCAGGTGGGGGGTGTGAGGACGGCAAGGGTTCCCCGGAAATGGGATGGGGGGCCCGGAAGCCGGGAGAGGGGAGGCTCCGGGGCCCGGGGGGCGGGGGGACGACGGACGGCCCGGAAATGGAAACTAGGGAGCAGCTCGAGTGACAACAGTTGTGGGAAGCGAGGGTCCGAGGAGGGAGAGGCCGGAGTGACTTTAGACCGCAGTAAGGGGGTTCCTGCCGGGGTGGGGGGGGCGTGGGGGGCGGGCGAGGCCGGAGACGGGGTCCGCGCCGGGCCGTGCGGGTAGAGCCGTGGGAAGTTGAGGCTGAGCGGGGACGACGGAGGGGCGGGCGGGCGGGCGGGCGTGCAGGAGGGTCTGGCGGAGAGGCCGAGAAACTTGGCGGAGCCGCGGGCGAGCGGGGAAGCCGGGGGGTGCGGGGTCCGGGCCCCGCGAGGGAGGCGCCCCGATTGTCACTCCCGTCGTCTCCGCATTCGGAGCGAGTCAGGCGATTAATTTATTTATATGTGGATTACATAAAACCCATTATACCGTTAGTCCCTCCGGCTCCCCCTGCCCTCCCCTCCCCTCCCCTCCCCTCCATCCTCCTCCCCCCTCCCCTCCCCCCCCCCCCCCCCCGAGAGAGTGGGGTTTCGAGTTCAGAAGCAAGTTGGAGGGGAGTTCCCAAATCCTGCCCTTCGTGGCGCTTCTTGATCACCATTCCTACAGGGGGAGAGATTAATAAAGACTGAAAAAGAAAAAAAAAAAAAGAACGAGCCCCGTGCAAATCTGGAGGAAGTCCCCTATTTGAAGTGCCGGTGTTTGGGGTGGGGGGGGCGGGGCGGACGGCAGGGAATCGGCTCCCCTGGCGAGGTCGGGAGAGCGCGGAAGGGGCTGCTGCTAGACCCTTAAGACAGGTTGGTTGGTTCTTGATAAGGCTCCGGTTTTCAGCATCGTGCCTGGCGGGTGTGCGTGTGCGTGTGTGTGTGTGTGTGTGTGGGGGGGAGTTCTAATTGCTTCGTGAGTTCATTGAAGGAGGGACCGTGTCAGCGGGCGCGGGGCGCGGGGCGCGGGGGTCGGCGCCCTGGGGCGGGGGGTGCGTCCCGGGTGGGCGTCGCCGCGCTCGGGGCCGGCGGTCCTCGGATCCCGCCCGGGCTGCAGAATCACCCGATCCCCGGGCTTCCCTCCGTTCTGTAGGCCCTGGAGTGCTGTGTTCAACTTGATTCCTTCCTCTCTCCAGTCTCTCTCTCTCTCTCTCTCTGGATATGTTCTTGGCATTTCGTTTTTTTTTTTTTTTGACGAGCCCAGAAAGTTGAGGCTTGAGGATTCTCCTCCTTCAACACAAAACAAAACAAAACAAAAATAATAGGGGTAGAAAGTTGAAAGAGCTATTGAGTTGGGGCAAAAAAAAAAAAAACAAAACAAAACAAAACAAAAAAACCGACGCTCGGAACAAAGGTCCCGGTTGTTGGGGAAAAAGGCAAGAGGCCTATATAGGAGGCCTGTGTGTGTGTGTGTGTGTGTGTGTGTGTGTGTGTCGCGGGTACTCGGGGTGGGGGGAGTGGGGGGCAGTTCAGATTGAGGAATGAAAGGGCATTATCAGAGGTTTGGAGACCATCAGTTGCAGATGGGTTTATTGAGGTTCATCTTCATATTTACATTATGCAAAGAGATCAATACTTTTTTTTTTAATTGATTTTTATTGGTGTTCAGTTTACCAACATACAGGATAACGCCCAGCGCTCATCCCGTCAAGTGCCCCCCTCAGTGCCCGTCACCCATTCACCCCCCCCCACCCCCCCGCCCTCCTCCCCCTCCACCACCCCTAGTTCGTTTCCCAGAGTTAGGAGTCAAAGAGATCAATACTGAAGGTAAATTTTGCAGTAAACAGAATTTCTTTTGAAACGACCCTGCTGCTTCCCTGTTCAGGCGCAGAAAGATTGAATTAGTGTGTTTTTTTGTTTGTTTGTTTGTTTTTTAACATCTTTATGTGATTGCTTGGGGAGTTTTTATTTCATTTTTTTTTTTTTTACACCGAAGAGGGCATTATCAACCTGGAGTTTGTGGGCTTTGTCCACATCTGCCTTTCTACAAATGTGCCAATATCCTAAGGATTTAAGAATTGCCATGTAATTGACGTAGAATATACTTAACATTTATCAATTGTTCCTATTCAATTCCCAGTTTTTAAGGAGTTTGAGTGATTTTGTAAGTCCGCCGAGCTGACGGTTACTGTTTAGTTTGTGCCAGTGAACGGGCTTTTTGTTTTAGTTTTTCATTTACTTTCTGAAAGTTTTGGAATACTTTGGCAGTTAAGAGTTCCAGAAGCTGCGAAACTAATTATTTAAAAAATGAAGGGGTTGCTGAGCCAGTGTAAAATCAGTGTTTTTACCTAGCAAAGTAAATTTGAAGTAATATTTACTTTTCTAACTTTTAAGATTACTGGATTTATGTTATCTAGATAAGATTTTATGATCCTATTTTAAGCACATCATCCCAGCAAGAGACAAACAATGGCTTGGGAATTCACACACTGCCAGTTAGTAGCTGTGTGACCTTGAGCTATTCAGTTTAGCACATCTGGTCTCCAGTAATTTTATCTGTAAAATGGGGATGGGTAATCACTGTTTTTCCTCACTGGGTGATTTTGAGACCCAGTGGATATAATGGCCATGAAAAACAACAAACTGCTAAATAAGTGTAATAGCATTAGTTTTAGAAAATTATATTAGCTATTTTGCGGTTATTAAAAGTAAATAGAGCTTCTCAACCAGTGGTGGCCTTGGGGAGGGGGGGGAACCTTGATGTAAGGTAGGTTGCAGATGCGAAGTTACAGCAATTTATATTTTGAAGCTGCTACTAAACTGGTAATGGAACTTGAGCCCAATTTCTGTAATTTTTTTTTTCTTTTGCATCAACATGGTAGGTAATTTATTCACCATACCTTCTACTGAATAAATTTGTAAGTCATGTTTAGAGAAATTTCTTTACATTTTTTAATTAATAACATATACCCTTTCTGGTCTGTGGCTGTTTTGATACTTTCTAATGTCAGAGACTACAGTTAAGGGAAAATACTGCCAAAATTGATCTGTTTTCTTTACCAGGATTAAGGAGATTTAAAAAAAAAAAATTTTTTTTTAGTTCTTTTAAGTGGGTGGGTGAGGATCTTTCTGAGCAAATATGACACCAGGTCATATTTTTTTATTTTTCCTTTATTATTATTTATTATTTTCCTTTATTATTCCATTTGCTGAAGTAATTTGATGGACTCAAGTTGAAAAAGCAACCTGTTTGTTGCTTTTCTTCTTCACACAAGTTCTTGCTACTGCCAGCCTGACATGCACTTTTCTTTTTTTTAAACCATTTCAGGTTCAGTTCAACCCACCCCTTCATATCACTTCCTTAAAAACTTCTACTTCATGATATTTCCTTTTTATTTCTTGGTTATCTAAATAAGCTCCATTTTGGGATTATAGTGCTAAATTTGTTGACATGTGTTGCTTTTGTTTCCCCAACTGGATTATAGGCTTCCTGAAGTCAAGGATTATCTTGTATCACTGTGTTTTGCATGAAGGTGCACTCATATGCCTGATTGAAAATAATGCCCATTTTCCTTCCCACTCCAAACCAGTAATGTTAGCCTAGTCCTGCTGACTGCGCAACCAGTCTTCCTGCTTGGAAAGTTTCTTAGCCTCAACAGATTCTTCAGGATGCTATTTGGTTTTGTGATCACAGCCTCTTCGTGTCTTCCTGATTACTGTGCCATCGAGTGCCTGGAAGGGGTATAAGAGCAAGAAGGAATTTGATGGATATTACATGATAAATGTATCTGTAGATTGTTATATAATTCTGGTGCTGGTAGTTCTTAACATGTAATGTTAGATTTACATTTGTGTGTGTGTGTGTTTTTAAAGATTTTATTCATGAGAGACAGAGAAGCACAGACACAGGCAGAGGGAGAAGCAGTCCCATCGATAGTGGGACTCCATCCCAGGTCTCCAGGATCAGGCCCTGGAGGCTCTAAACCGCTGAGCCACCTGGGCTGCCACATTTGTGTGTTTTCTTTTAGTGCTTCTGTATAGTTCAAACAGCTGTGATACAGATTTCTTGAAGGCTTAAACCTAGCAGTTGTATAATCGCTACCTGGTCTGCTAGGTTACT